CACAGACCTTAAACCATCATCCCAAGTTTATTGAACAAAGCTTTTGACCCCGTCTTCATCCTGAAAACTGTGAACCCTTCATGACGAAGACTTGAAGCCATCACCCCAAGTCCTGGACAGTCTGAAAAACGCTGTTGTCACGAGCCCCTTTTGACCCTCAGCTCTTCTTTGCCGGAAACTCCTTAGGCCCACAGCCATGCCTCTATTTAGGTAGTACTGTAGGTATTTGTAGGTAATAACCCGCTGCCCTTTAACGATGTGAGTGTTACTTGTATGTATGGTTCTTGGCGATGCCGGGGGACGCAAGGAATCCGGCAAGTCTATCGCCATTGACAACTTCAGCAAATGGCAGGCACGCTTGTTGTGCACGACCGTGGACCGCTCCAGTAGAACCCCTTAAGGCGCTGCCCATACAGCCAACAACCGGACCCAGCCTCCGCGGTCGCTTGTACGCCACGAGTGTGTTTGTGGTGTGCACGGTGTGGTGTGTGTGGTCTGAAAGTTACGCTTTGTAAACCCACTTCTCTTCGATCTTAAGATTAAACACCCCATTTCAACTTAAAGCATGGCTGAGTGCCCTTCGATCTTTAACACTTCAATTTCCAATTCAATTGCCAAAACGATTCAAATCCTCTCGATGCAACAGCCTCCTTAAGCTAAAGTCTCCTCATGCTATACCTCTTCAAACTCTTCTGCATTCCAAAATCCTTCGAGCTGTAAACATTCGAAGCTTCTCAATCCACATTCGTTGAAGCTTTATGAAGCTTTCTCCATGGCAAAATCCTTTAAGCACACTTAGTTTAATCCTAGCATCGGCTTTGGGTTGGTAATTCAACGAACCCCCAAAACAGTCAAGTCGAAACCAAGCAAGGCAATTCTGGCAATGAGAACTGAGAACTGATTCAGAAAGGATGCAAAGCTGTGCGACGGGCAAAAATGACTTCGATGGCAGTCACACAAACGCACACACGCACACACACTCTCTCTCTCTATCTCTCTATCTATCTATCTACTGTATCTATCTACGTATCTATTTATCTATCTATCTATCTAATTCTATCTATCTCTCTCTCTCTCTCCATCGTCATCTTAGGTGAGACTGCCAGAAGGCAAGGGTGAGTCGCTACCAGCCATTGCCCCATATTTCTTTAAACTGTCTGCATCCAAAAAACGGTTAAACAAATACGACCTCTTCATCCCCAAAAAGCCTTTTGAACACCTCTTTATCGTAAAAATATTTCAATCCTCCTTCATCTGAGGTTCCCTTTTCACTTCTAAGTCAAGTCTTTTTGTTGCATGTTGCAATTCTCTTTAAACATCTCTTCATCCCAGTCCTCTTTCATCCCAAACTCTATTAAACCTATCTTCACACCGACCTAACTGAAGTTTATTTCCATGGAGTTCTGGTGCTTCCAATTCACTCGCAACTCATGTTGAACCTGTCACGCCAAAGCCCAAGGAACCTTCAAGTCCATGTCGTCCCCAATTTGACTAAAACATGATTGCATCCCTAAAACCGTTGAAGTAACGAGCTCTCTTCAAACTCTCTTCACCCCACAGTTCTTGGAACCCCTCTTCATCAAACGTCATAATTTCATGATTCAAGACTTGGACATGCCAAGATATTGATCTGGTAGATTTTGGCCATGCCAGATTCTACATGTAGGCTTGATGTAAGCTTCGCACACAAACAAATCTGCCCGGCCCATACCACTCGGCTTGGAGTTTCAGGTCACAATTGGTTTGGCAATGCCAAAGTCTTGTTGTGGGAAACACATCATCATGTATGTCAATACGTCGCATCAACATGGCTTCTCTATGTCCTTGCTGCGCTGCAACTGCAAGAGACGCCATGCAATGTGAAACTCACCTGTGGCATTGCTATTTAGAGGCGTGCGTGGATCTCATGGCGATGTAAGATCTTAAAAAGAAATTGATAAATATTTGTGTCAATATCTATGGGTAATTATAAATAGGTATGCTTCAATCTTGCATTTGGTAGTTTGTTTAGTGTGTGCGCTGTTCTAGGGCGCTAATCCACATTGCAGTGTCCGGAGTTTTCCACTTCCTCTCTTGGTCTCATTTCATCAGTCTGTTTCGTGGCTCTTCAATGTTGCCTGTGTGCCGTTCAGTTCGCATGCTGTGTCTGCTTTGTGATATTCCGGAGGTGTGCCATGCTGCACTGCTTGATTGTCATTTTTGCGGCTGTGCTCTTTGGTCTCCTGGCAGTCTAAACCATCCTAAACCCAACACATTACACCAGCAGGAGAAAAGACACCTGCGCAACACGTGAGTCAGGCCAGGTCACTAAACCCTAAACTAAGTGCGTGCCTGCAAATCACACTTTGACAAACGCTTGCTGAAAGGCTGAAAGGCAGTTCAAAAAAGCGAAACCATTTGTTAAAAAAGCAACCTTGACAAACGCTTGATGAACAGGAACTCAAAATGTCGTGACACCCACCATTTAAACACATGCTTTGAGGAAATACTTAAATATCGAGCCGCTCCTAATACCGATTGCCCAGTCAGATTGCTGCTACTTGGCTCCATGAGCCGCCTGCTGTCCAAGGTATTCTTGCGGTGCCAGTTCTTCCAGGACATTCAGCAAACGGTTGTTGGAAAACCTAAGCCCTAACCTCATTGAACATCCAAATACTCAAGCTTCTTCGGGGCTCAATGAATTGAAGGGGTTACGGGTTACGGGATTTCATTCGTACCAAGTGGCCTGAAATTGTGGAAAGCTTGTTTTTGCAAGAACACTCTGACAACTTCTCAGGTAAAGAGTTTGCAGAGATTCATGGTAACTTACAACCGTGGCTTCTGCTCTAACGTGGCATGGCTCAGCTTTTCCTCATTCCAGCAAATCCAGCGGCTTTGTGGCCAAGCCTGGCAACAGCATCTTGAAGGGGGACCGATATGGCTAATATAATGCAAATTGGCTGATATTCTTTTGGATACAGTGGTGGGAGGCAGTACGCAACACAAGCCAGGAAACACCCCACAATGCCTTTCGCAGCGCCTGCAGCAAGCATTAACCAAAATTCCAAGCTGAATCGAGATAATTACGATATAATTCACTCATTCACTACGTTCAGCTTTTGAACTTGGCCATGTTGACTGCAGATTCTGCGCGTTATGTGGCCAATGCTTCCCTTGCTTGTCTTGGCTTGGTGAAATGCGCGCTCAAGTGGCTGCACGACAATTCTGATTGCCACAGCTATTGAACATTGGCCAAAGTGTTGAACAAGTGAAGGCTGAAAACTCTGTTGAACAAGCGATTGCTGGCACTTTCATGTGAACCGGGCCCCAAACTCGGCTGAAGGCGTTGGCATCCACGTCTTCTCGAAGGCCCATCCACAAGGTCCAAGAGTGTAAAGTTTCCTGCAAAACAGTTCATGAAACAATACTTGACAGTTTTCATGATGTTTAATGCAACACCAATTTAACTTCAACCCCGCAGTGAATGGCACTCCAGTCTTACTTACATGTCTGTGACCGTGAGTGGCGCTTCCTGGTCCGCAAACATCTCCACAATGTTCCTGGAACAAACTGGAATGACTCGAATTCCGGCTCCACAAACGTGACAAAACACACCATCTTGAAATGCCTGACAAATCTAGTCGGTCTCCGGGTGGTGTCTTGAGGCTCTATCACCTGAAAAGCGAGCGCTCCTTTTAAACCAAGAGTCTCAGCTTGTTTTGGCAACCAATCTGATCAAATTGGAGGACTTTCCAAGTCGGTGACTGGTGTGGCCCCGTCAAAGGCTGGGATGCCTCGAAGGTTGATGAAAAGCCTGCAAGATGTGGCAACATTCAATGGAAGTAGTTCTCCAAATAGCTCTCCTGTCACCATCATCATCAAGTAAATGGCACATATGCCAATCTCGGCGTCCTTGGAACCCCAAAACCATCACATGTAGAATTTTTGAGCACACAAATCATTATGGACCCCCTGCAGAAATGATTTGATGTAGTCAGGAAATGATTAAGCTCACAACGGAAACGAGAGGAGAGCTCTAACGCAATATCGAAGAGAGACCTCATTGCTATTGCAGGCCCTCACATTAAGCTTCTGACATAAACACACGTTTGAGTGCTGATCTATGTGCATCTTCACCTTTATATATTGATTCCAAAAACCGTCCAATCGCTGCCAACTCTCCCTTTTCTAGCAAAACACCAACGCGATCAGTTGGCACCTGCTTCGAATCCAAACGGAGAGGTGCCGGGTTGAAGCAAGGTTTGCCACTGCCTACATGCTGCTGAAAACCAACCTCCACAATGGTAGTCAAATTGCCTAAGCCACCCGACTTGTCCAACTTTTTCGGTTTGTCAATATAGTTGTCAATAAAGACAACAGTTTCACCATATATATATATACTATAATAGTATATGCTCTCAAAGATGTAGACTGCTGTCCTGGCCATGACCAGGCCCATCTCTCATTGGCACAATCAGTGTGAGCTTCACCTCGGCTCAAACAGCACCGTATTGGAACAACAGGGCAGGGCCTTGGCCTCCCGGGTTTTGAAACAGCTGCAACATGTTCGCACGATCTCTGCGTAAGAAAGAAGAAACAGTGACACCAACTGTTCATGCATTCTGCTGTTGCCTCGCCAATACAGGATACAAATGCACAAACAGCAGGAACTCTAAATGTATCTCAACATAATACCAGATGAAACAAAAACTGCAAATCGCTTGATTGGAAGACACACAGTAATTGATCGCCATAAGTCTCCAAGTTTTGCATGCAAACAATATTTAATACGAATGATATATAATACATTACTCACACCTGAGAGGGGAGGGGACGAAAGCCAGCCTCCGTAAAAAGAAATTAATGTGGTTATGGGGTGAAGTCGGCAGCCAAACACTCCCCACTGCGTTAGGGGTGCCCTTTTTCAGCTTGAGCACGACCCCGAAGTGCAGGAACGATCTCACAGGGAGTTGACCAGGCTAATTGGGTATGTCCATGGGTCCATTGAGTTACATTCTGTGCTGGCTAGAACCTCTTTCTCCTAGAGAAAGCGTTCAAACAACTCAGGAGAACATTTGTTGGCTAATCATTACCACTCTTGAAATGGGATCTTCCCGGAAAGACATAGAATGCAGTCAGGAACCTTTAAGTTGCTTGAGGGGTGCCCTTTTTGCTTGTGAAAGAGTTCGTTACCCGGATGAAAAGGGCACCCCTCTCAGCTATACATGTCCAAGACTTCCTGGTCCTGGTGAGCTCCCGACATCTTTTCCTGTCACGTTGTCTCCCCTATTTCCTGTCCCCTTGTCGAAAGACTGCATCTTGAGCCCCTCATGATGCTAATGATGCACTATTCGGCGCCAATCACACCACTTGCATCAGTGAATTGCTGGCTAAAAAGCTGGGCTCAACCGCGTGGCTAAACAAAACTGACTACCTTTTCGTCACACATGAGGGCCGCTAGCTTGATTGGTAAAATGACGCGAAAAGATTGACTCACCTGACAAGTCAACACGTGTTCCAGGTAAAATCGGCTGAACGTTAACATTGGTATCACTCCTCTCTGGAACCGTTGACTTGACTGCTCTTGCAGACTTTCCATGAAACGTAGCCTTTCCACCATTGATGACTTGTTGCAGGCCTGCTTTAGTTAGCCCGTCTGCTAACTGATGCCGAGTTGGCACCCGCAGCAGCTGTGCTCGACCATGCGACGGATTGCTCTCAGCTGAACACATTTGCCGAAAGATGGCGATGTTCAAAGCATCAGACTTATCCGACACACTCTGACGATCACACTTAACGCAGTCAAACACAGACTTACAATCCGTGGACAGAACTAGTGGCACCACCGTGTTCCAATTAGCGGAATCATCCTTGATCGCCCATTCGCCGAGCTTGATCTCCAAGATGAGCGACCGAAGAAAACTGGCGCGTCCATAGCCCATCATTGCTGCATGAGTTTCCGCTGCGAACGTGCTCTCCACGATGCGGCGATTGGTCTTCGACTTCCAACCCATGATGTTCACAGGCACTTCGTGAGTCCTCTCCAAGTCACACTCTCGAGCGATCCCCACCATGCACCCTTTCTGAGAATACAACATCTTTTTACTACCTAAAGACAACACAAGATCATACTTAGCCTCGTCTAATTCAACACCAACACTATCAAATAAACCAGCGTCACTCCAACCAACGACAGCGATGTCATCACCCAAATAACGAAAGGTTAAGGAAACCTCTTGAGACCTCGCGATCCGAACCGCTTTGTTAGCCTCCATCAAATCTCTCACCTGCAGCCTATCGACTCTCCTGCAGTTGATTAACTACAAATGACAGATCGGGTCTAGTCTGAGTTGACAGCCCTTGCAATGAACCCATCACCGATCTAAAATCGGACACTTCAGCAGGTGTTGCCTCAGCGTCCAAATCTTTCTTTCTTTGAGAATCAATAGGAACAAGTTCCAATCGACCATCCACAAAACCCCTTTGTCTCACTTTGATCACCTTCTCTCCAGCTTCTTCTTCGACCACAATTTCTTTGCCACAGTATGTGACTCAAACAAAAGGAAAACGCTCAAACAACTTTTGAACAAGACTTTCCACATGGTCACTACCGTCAGTGCACACTAACAGATCATCCACATGCAGAACCAACAAGCCGTCGGGATCACCGCAACTACCCCTTCTTCGGACAAACAAAGCAGGATCCAAAATACTTCCTTCAAAACCCAAATCGTGAACAAGGAGACTAGAGATTTGTTCAAACCAGGCTCTTGGGGCATCGGGTCTACCAGACACGGGCCTTTTCAGTCGAAGAATGGAATTGTTGGAGATACCCGGCAAACCAATATCAGGGGGCTTCATGAAAAGTGGTTCTCCCTTGTATTCAGCTCCTTGCAGAAAAGCGGATGAAACATCTCCACTTCTCAAGTTTTGCACCCAACCCCAACTTACAACGAAATGGAAAAAAGCCATGAGACTTGAGTGCTGCGCCGTAGGCGCATCTACTTTCACGTTTCCAGACATGCAGTCGGGGCAGTTTTGACCCTGAACAACCAGCCTAGCCTTAGCTTTCAAGGGAAGTGGGTTTCCAGCCTCGTCAACCAGCGTTTTTGTTTCTAAAAACATATCTGCTTTTGAGGACACGTTCAGGCTTCGCAGCTAAGACCTTTTGGCTTTCTGTCTCATCCAAGACTTCGACCGCGTCGTAGTCAATCCATGACTGCCATTCCTTGAGCTCAGCGGCCTTATACGCGTCTTTCTGGTTTTCTGGAATTTTGTGACAAGGCACTTCCTTATCCAAAGCCCGCTGTTGTTTTCGCTTGCTCAAAGTCATGAAAGCATGCTCAACTCTCCGTTTCTTAAAGCGCTCCGGAACAGAGTTCAAGCAAATTTGTTTCCTACATCGCTTCTTGAATATAGTAATCAAGATGTCAGCGGGACCTCCCAAGATGACCGGTTTGGGATCCTCGAACAAAGACCACCCAACTTCATCTTCCATCAGTCTCCAACTACCACCCCGCAACGCCCAAGTAGTCCGAAAAGGAACGTCTTTAGCGTCCATCTGGGTAGACGGGGTTCGGTAGGCATACGCCCCAAAAGCAACGTGACAGGGATTTCCGAAGACGTCTTGCTTCCAACCTGGAACCTTGCACGTTTCCAACAAATCGTCCGGAAGGTTGCGAATACGATTTGGGTTCCCATTCTGTTCTTGTTGGGGCATGTCCTCATCGCTGTTCATGTCAACATCTCTGGGGGATTGTCCAAAGTGTCATCGGCAGGTCCATCCTGTCCAGTAAGGTCCTTATAGACATTCCTGTCACCTCCTTGGATCATACCTTTGAAAACCCCAATGGCTTCCTGGACTTCAGGTCTCCCGTTTAAGTTTTCTTCACCAACCGCTTCCCTACAATGTTCTTGGGCCACCAGAAAACACTTGCCACCGAACACAACCCAGATGTTGCTGTTTCCTTGCAGACCCATGACTAAAGCAGGTCCAAGCCATTTCTTGACAACCCCTCGAACACCCTTTTGACGAGCCTCCCGATAATGAAACGCTTATCCCCTATCTGAGGCTCTTTCCAACTTCTCGTGTTGTTTCGGGCCGTTTGGTTCATGATGCGTTTGCTTGAGCATTGAAAAAAGCCTGCCGAGCTTTTGTTCTCATCTTCATTCTTCGAAACTATTGACTTCCCTGTTCACCAACCGAGAAGTGCATGACCTGGGGAAAACCCATGTTCCCGAATCAAAGCAGTCTTACAGTGGGTGACCTCGTTAGCCGCCCATCCTACTGCTTCGACTCCATGCGCATCAGCCTGAGTCAATACCTTAGCCAGCATATCCTTAATGCCGTGTCTCTCAACCTTGCCATGCTGCCAGTGGGCTTGACCAGCAATAGGGGCAACGTGCGTGCCACCTTCACCAACAGCTTCCGCAAAACGTTTGCTACCGAAACCTCTGTCCAAATCAATTGAAACCTCCAAAGGTCTCCCGGCCCATTTGGCCCAATACTCGTGAAAGACCTTAACAAAGGCTTCCGGGGAATGATTGGGAATGAGAGTCACTTGATGATACATGGTGCTCCTATCCAACACCGACATGAACCAATGACCCTGGTGTTTGACATCTTTGAGATAAAAGCAATCAACCATGAGTTGGTCATTGAATTGGATATCGTGTGGAGGTATTCTGGCCACACGATGGCTTCTGGGCCTCTGGGTCTTGGCGTGCGCCGCGCACCGAAGCCATCCAATAGCTTCCAGGAGCTCCTGAGGTGCTCCAGCGCTGCGCATGAACCTTTTCAGATCCACGGCGCTGGGATGACCTAAGTTGGAGTGCAATTTCCTTAACGCGGCTCTTGCTCCATCGTCAAGCTGCCTTCCCTCCGGAACCTCGAAACTTACACCTTCGGCCAACGTTTCGCCTGGCTCATAGACAGCGGTATCACCATGGTCATTCACATACACGTAGCTACCAGAACCCTTGCAGCATTTTTGATACCTGTCTACAGCCTTAACCAACCTGTCATCAGTCCAGTGACTCAAACGGTCTTGTTCACCCTTGCCTGCAATTTTCCACAGTTTCTTCAGAATCTTAACCGCGTGGGAGGGGTCCTTTCTCCTCAGGGTTTTAACGAAACCTGCGTGAATAGCTTGAGCCATCTCCTTGGTATAACGTCCCGCGTGAGAGGTGACACTGTGTCCCTGACACACTCCATGTTCACGAGCAACATGTCCAGGCCTGTTTGGGCACCGCTTGGAAAGAGCGTCGCAACACTGGTCGAGATCCACAAGGTCGGTTTCTTTAATCACAAACCAGTTTGAGAACTTCGAAGGTTAAACTGACAACCGTGCGACACTCCCACCGACACATCCGGATGTCGGAGAATCCTCGGTATGGGCGCCTCCTTGGCCAAAGGGTTTCTGCCAAGGCATCGTCTCCGTGTCCAATCTGGATGTCGAACAATTCTTCAGTGAACTGAAGTAGAGGTCGTTCTTGCTCACGCTTTCGCATCAGCCGCCGGCTTTCTTGTTTAGATCGAAAGTTTGCGTCGGTACTTACAAGGCCAAGAGATAATGAGCAAGCTAGGACGTTGGCTCCTAACAAGATCCAAGACTTTCTGTCGTTCAGCTGAGTCTTTCAAATCACATCCATATATCTCATCTATCGGTTGGCTCACAGACCATCCCTTTCTGGCAAATTGGAGACTGACCTCAGCATGACCACCAAAAATCTCAATGACGTCAGGCCGAGTGTCACCTAAGAAACCGTTTTGAAACAATTTTGCACAGCTGCCAATTGATCCTACCGCCAAAACGCCAATAGCTGCAGCAAGATATGTACAATTCGACAGAAGTCTTCGAACGGTTCCTTTCTTTACACGTCTTCTTCTTGCCATCTTCTCTCTAAGTGACACTTTCGAGGTCTTGCTGAAGGTCTCTGTGCAGTCCGGGAACACCAAGCACACCCAAAACATCTGACCGGTCATGCGATTGCGCCTCTCCACCATAGGAATCTTGCATTTGTTGCACGTTGGGGCTCCCGGGTCGGGATGAGTGCCGGAGTTTCCAGACGAGCGTCTGTGGCGTACTGCGCGATCTCCACAACAAAGCGGCCGCGACGCGAGTCCACATGGCATGATTTGAGCTGCGGGGAGTACTCTGGTAGAAGGGCATCACTGTCTCCTCGTAAACCTGGCGCAACTCCGCTTTCTTGAAGCGGCGCCAGTTGACTGGGAGGATCTGAACCGGACGTGCCTTGACATTTGAGTAGACCAACCTCAACTTCTCGACTGTCATGGTCCGGAGAGACTCCGCATTGATGGCCGTGATCTCGCTGAGTGCCTCCACATATTCTCCCTTGGTCTTGGGAGCCATCGGCGCTTTCTCTCCGGAAGACTGACGTCGCTTTGAGCTCCAGCCCCCAAAAATCTCACGTTTTTCAACCCTAGTGCACACATTAACGCAAGCATCAGTCCCATTATCTACACCCCTTCTTCTTTGCGGCCCTCAGGTGCAAACAGGAATGTAGGCGCACACACGGTCCTGATCCACTTTGCCAAACGCTACTTCCTCCATGGAGTTGTCAAAAGAGCGCCAATCCAGGGCCAGGAGTTCTTGAAGCGCTGGTTCACGGTTACACAAGATCTCAAAGCCGATGTGCCCGGCAGTAGTGCTCACCATCGGAACGGTGCTGCGGACTTTCTTGAAGACATACTTTTCGGCCTCCAAATCTGATAGTGCTCCCATGGCCTTCAATGCTTTTGACGAGACTAGTAGAGGCACATCGTCCTCCACAATGCTGACTCGCAAGAGCACATGCCGTCCTTGGTCCTGGAGAAGCAATGGAAAAATAATGCCGCGCACAGCCTCTACTTTGGGTCCATCTCCAAATCGAAAGGGCTGGGCATCTTCGACCACAAGGCAGGGGATGCCACGCTCTGCCAGAGAATCCATATGCTGGACCGCCCAAGCAAAACCGGCGACGGTCCTTGCGCAGCAGGTGTCGGCCAGAGCAATCCCTTCGGTAATGCCTCGAAGATAGGATGACGTTGCAAGCACCGCCGAATTCACTAAAAAGGCATCATCTTCCGACTCATCTTCAACAGGGTCTTGGGAGACCACAAAGACCGGCTTGACCTTGCCTTTGGCATCCACCACATCCTTGGAGGGACACTCAGGGTCAGCATGCCAGTGGCCATAGGCGGTGATACCCTTGGCCTTGCACGCTGAACAGGGCATCCTAGACTTGAGTTCTGCAATGCGATCACTTCTTTCAGCAGGTGTTTCCTGCTTCTTGAATCCTCGGTTCTGAGTGGCTGCAGCTCGACGTTTGGCTGCGTGAGTCAACAGAACCTCAGCCTCCATTTCGAGCTCATCCGCTACTCTCTCTGGGTCTCCTTCATCATCATGCTTTGGGCCATCTGATTCTCCTTCTTCAGCGCCTTCCTCGAAGACGGCGTGCGCATTGTGGGACTTGCTGCTATTCCGATTCCATCTTGGGTGGTCGTACTTCTCATGGTCCTTCTTGATCTGGGGCACGGTAGCCACCAACGACTGACGTAGTCGCTGATAGTCATATTGACCACCAGCCCCTGAAATGACTTGTCGCTTCAACTCCTCGCTGATGTTGGCCTTTTCCAGAAACCAGTAGGCCTGAATGATTCCTTCCAGTGGGGCATTGACCTCCTTCAGGCGTTGACACTGCCCCTGGTTCTTTTGAAACTGGCATAAAATTCAGAGAGGGTGTTGAAAATCCTCAAAAGCTCCAGCGGCTCAAGTTCTGACCAGAGGTGTTGCAGCAAGCGCTCTACGCCATCAGGGTGTTTGAGAGATTTCCAGTCCAGAGTTTCACACACTTCCCAAGCCAGTCCAGTCAAGCGCTCGACCAATTTCCCGGCCTGGTATTCTTTGTCTATCCCAGTAGTAGATTGGAACAAACGAACCTGCTTCTGGTATTCGCGCATGGTAATCGCACCATCATGCACTGGGACATACTCCTTTCCGGTGTTCGGCTTTTTGGATGATGACATCTCCGATCTGGATCCGGCTCATCTCTCCTTTCTCCCAAGTCATCCCACTTGTCAGCCACGACATGTGGCTTCTTCACCGTCATGGTGTCATCAGAGCGAAGACCACTGTCACTACCCCTACTGCTAGGTGCAGTCTGCGTTGCGCTATCCACATCTAACCAGCCCTTTGCGATGTAGTCTTTGATCCCACTGTCTAGGCCCATACCCAAACCTTGGGAGTCCACCGCCATTGTTCATGATCACCGCCGTCGGACCTGTACCCATTCACAGTGTCAGTAGTGCTAGATCGTCTTCCCCATTGATCGTCGTGAGCTGCATGACGATCTACCCCAACAAAAGGGTCAGAAAAAGCTGCAACCTGACTGACTAGCCGCCTCAAAACCAGAAGTTCTGCCGTCTGGATAAAATGTCATCGGCATAACTGTGCTAACTTCTTGACCTGGATCACTAGCTCCGCGCCACCAATGTGAATAGCTGGCTAAAATGCTGGGCTCAACCGCATGGCTAAACAAAACTGACTGCCTTTTCGTCACACCCGAGGGCCGCTAGCTTGATTGGTAAAATGACGCGAAAAGATTGACTCACCTGACAAGTCAACACGTGTTCCAGGTAAAATCGGCTGAACGTTAACACATCACAACACCCCAAAAATCAAACATTTTCACTACTTTTCGTGATGCCTCTTTCTTTCGCCCCCCCCAACCAGGCTCTGAGTTCGCCCTACCCTGCCCGCCACCTACGTCACCCACCCACACACCCCCTATACTCACTTCGTTCGCCCATCGACAACTCCAGCCTAGCCTATCGGCTGGCTCGTAACAAATCCAACAAATGAACAAATGCAAATGTCTTAACAAAAACTTTTCAATATGATAAGTATCTTGGCTCCTTAGATAGAGTTCTAGTTCGCACGACTTAGGCAATACAAAAATGTAATGAGACTCAAGGGGTGCCAAGAACCGTGGCAAGGCACTTCATCCAACTTCGCTGCAGAACCTAGAGAAGCTGCCAATGCTGCCTCAGGATGAAACAACTGACGTCCGCAAAGAAGCAAACAAACAGAAACTAAACAGGACGTCGGAGTCGGAACTACATAAATACTAGCTTGCGTCCGCAGGTATGCCTGGAGTTCTTCCGAAGCATGTTGTGTACAGCCACCCAAGTGAACTATAGCGCCAAGAAAAGACAACATGGAAAAAACAAACACCGTTTGCAAGTGACCCAGGCAAAGTCTTGAAACAGGGACAGTGTATCAACCATCATCACACCCCATATCATGGCATCAGCACTTCTTGAGAATCGCGCCACAAGCAAGTGGTCTGTGGGAATTCCAGTGCCGGTGCTGGCTGCCTGGCACTAACATCAGATTAATCTTACAATGGGTTTGGGAAAGGCCGCTACGTTGCTCATGATATTCATCCTGAACCTGGAGTAGATTAGATAGAATGTCAGGCGCTTGTGGAAACGATATGATTTGTTTTTGATATACAAGTGGCAGATAGAATTAAAAAACCTACAGCCTACAGATAGAGTCTGAGTATTGGGACCGCGCCCTTCCTTTTCCCCTTTCCTTTCCTTTTCACGCCGGTTCTTCTTCCTTTCCCTCTTCCATTTGTTTCCTCCCCCTGTTCCACCTCTTATTCATTTTCCTATTCCTAGCTTTCGTCCATTCCGGTTCATCTCCCTTTCCCCTTTCATTTTCCTTGTCTACGCTTTCACTGCTTTTTCGTTTCTTTCCTGGGGTGGGTGTCCCAAACTGGCACTTCCCCGAAAAAGAGCAGAGTTTTCGTTTTCCACGTGCGTTAGCAGTCAAAATAACGTTTCTTTACTGGCAGGACAGATTATTTACCAAGTCAAAGATCTTAATGCATCTTCTAGACGAAAAACATTTGACCTCGCTTCACGCGCGAATGTCCAGCCTCATTTTTGTCTGACGCAGTGTTTCTTTGATTGAAGTTGTTCTTTTGGGTGTTGTTGGCCTTGCCACATTTTGTGTTCTCGTCTGAAACATGTCTTTTGTCATGTTGTTTGTTAGTATATTTGCTGCCTTTTGTCCTTCTTGCTTTTGGTTTTGCCCTTGGGGATAGGTAATATAGATCTTGTTGGTCTTTTCAAGGATGGCCCTGCTTGCATAACGCGTAAGTTTTTTCCTTTCCACTTTGGTTTTCCCATAACGTTCATTCCTTGAGAAGCGTTTGCATTAGGCATCCTACTCGCCTCAGTCTTTATTATAAACAGTGCTCTCCTTGTAAGGGCAGGGCATCATTGCGCATGCTTTTCACCATGTCTTTTCTTTCTGAGCCATTTCCTTCGCACAAGGTCTATCCTTAATGAACTTGTTCATCCCAGACAAGTGCCCACAAGACACCCTTTTTTACAAAGCTCTATTATTGTCACACGTTGTTGAATTGTAGATCAGTTTGCCGTGACCCATCCTTACGAAGGTGCTCATCCTCTCTAGGAGCTTGTCCAGCTGCCAAGTCTCTCCCTTTTCTGAACCTTCTGTGATTGCTACAACACAAGTATGTGGAACTTATTAACTTTACGGTGTTTTTGTCTTTGTGCTTCGCATCCCAATGTGCCATCTGCAGTGTTTTCCAGGATTGAATACAGAGAAATGAGTGCATTTCCATGGGGACTTACAAGTGTTGTCATGCTTTCCCGCGCCTAAAATAAGATCTCATTTTAAAGAAAGCTGCGTCATCGCTGGACAGCTGCGTGTCTTTCTCGCATGGCTCGCAGCGTTTTCGCAGTCAGCGTGGCCAGGGATTCGTGCTTGGCATGTTCCCATCGCCACTGCCATGCCCTGGCATGATGCCAGATCTTCTCATTGATCTGTGTCTGATCGGTGACGTCCGTGGTTCTGATCTGCTGTGGCAAAGCCTTTTTCAACAAAGACCATGCTCCATCAATCGTTCCCGTGTGAACTTTCAAAGTCTTTCAGAGTCCCGACGACGCAAGAGCACCTCCATGAAGACGTGAAACTGGAACCAAAGATAAAACTCGCGCAACATATCGCGCAAATCGCCCCCCCCCAACCCCCCCGGAAATCTGCAGCGAAAAATCGCTGGACCCTGACGGCGCCAATGTCATCAAATAGTTATCCAGACGCTCAGCTTTGGTGACTCGGGAGATGCACTGGTAGTCACGCGTGTTCGAAAATTGTTACAACTACCTGTGCGGTTTTCCACGCGTAAGCTCAAACCTGGTTAAATATTCTTTTCTGAGACGAATTGAAAAATCTGTAGCTCCAGTCCTTATACAGTAGATAATACGGCTTTTCGTTTGCATGGCTGTCATCCTTACAAAAAATGGCTTAGCCGTTGACCAAGTTCCTTGCTTGTTGAAGCCTCATCTCTCTGTCATGTCTTTCTCTTGACAATGATCTGATCTTTTGGAGAATGCACATCCTTCTTTCAGAAGCCTCCCTTCACTCAACCTTTTCCCAACATCCAAAAACTACCTATATTGTAGAAGTCAAGCATCCTTTTCCATAAGAGCGTTCCTCCAATGACTCTATTAAAGCATTCTCATTCATCAAGATTTAGGCAATGGCACGGTATTTATAATGATTCTTGAAGGATCTTCATTCATTCTTTTGTGCGCCCAGGCACTGCCAGGCGCGTCTGCTCTCCAAACATTCAGGCTAGGTCGAGTTGAATCCGCTGTTTGACAGCTCTCCGAATATAGATCAACCTCACCTTGGCTGTGCTGGTTTAGCGTAGTTGCTCGCGTTACGGGGTTCCCCCAAGGCATCCGCGCGGTAAAAACGGTAAAAATCAAACACTTCCTTTTTACCGTTTTTACCGGGCGGGGCGCCCCTTTTTCTTCTACCATATCTTCGGAAAAAACAGTAAAAACCGTGAAAGTTTTCGATCCAAGTGATGTAGGCTTTCATTACCTTGCAAAAGTTAAGTCGTTAAATTTTGATCAAACATCAACCTCCTCTTGTCGAAAAGGGCACACGCTCCTATATGATAGGCGGGGTCAACTCCGCCAGACTATAGGAAGATACCCAAGGGCTGTAACATTAAACCTTTTTGTCTGCAGAGGTCTTCTAGCTTGCGACCTGTTCCCGAGGCATCCTCGCGGTAAAATCGGTAAACATTGAAAAATACTATTTGTGGTGTTTACCGTTTTTAACGGAGAGTCGCTTGCTCTTTTTCTTCTACCATATCCGCCGTAAAAACGGCAAAAATCAAAGTTCGGTTGTTTTACGTTTTTGCAGGTGGACTCGCCCTTTTCTTTTCTACCATCTCCGCGGTAAAACGCTAAAAGTCATTCTCTCTTTTTTTTACCGTTCTTACCGGGAGGCGCTCCTTTTTCTTCTACAATATCCGCGGTAAAAACGGTAAACGTCGAAAACGTTTATTGTTTACCGTTTTTACCGGGGGGGCGCCCCTTTTTCTTCTACCATATCCGCGGTAAAAGCGGTAAAAGTCGGGCATATACTTTTTTACCGTTTTTACCGAGGGGCGCCCCTTTTTCAATACCATATCCGCGGTAAAAACGATAAAATTTTCCCAAACAGTTTACTGTTAGGGGTTCTCAATTCTTGCTTAAGATGTCCGCCCTTTTCCGCTGGCCACGCAGCATTTCTATTCTTTTGTCTCCCAGGTGATTTCTTTACTTTTGTCTCCCAGGTTCGGTGCCTGCACTGCTGGTGTCCACCCTTTTCCGCTGGCCATGCAGCATTTCTATGCATAAGGGTGCCCGCCTTGCTGCGGGACAGCGTGTCCGCCTCCCCCTGTCTTCCTTTTTGTTGTTCCCCTTTTGTTTTCCTTTGTTTCCCTTTTTGTGTTCTTTTCAGAAAACGAAGGGCTGGTTATTGTGTCCGCCTTCTCTCCCTTCTGTTTCCTTCTGTACCCCTTCTTGTTTTCATTCTTGTTGGTCATGGTGTCCGCCTCGTCTCCCTTCTGTTCTTGGTTCCTCTAACCTAATAGCGGTGGTTTCCAACCTAGTAGCAGTGGCCTAACAGCCATGGCCTCCCCACTTACCCGTTTTGAGGGCCCAGTGGCGACCACGCGTTCCGCAGCTCCTCCTGAAGGCTCTGTGTACTGTGCCTGCCACGAAATCTGCACTCCAGGTTCGCCAAGTGCTGTGCCTGCCACTCCCTTCTGTTTTGTTTTTGTCTCCCTTCTGTCTCCTTTTGTCTCTCTTCTGTTTCCTTTTGTCTCTCTTCTTGTTGCCTTGCAATCCTTGACATTTGTCTCCCAGCTCTGGGCCTTTCCTTTTCTCTCCCTTCTTGTTGCCGTTCTTGTTGGTCATTGTGTCCGCCTTCTCTCCCTGCTGTCTCCTCCCTTTGTCTCCGGTCTTGTCTCCCTTCTTGTGGGTCACTGTGTCTACCTTCTTGTCTCTCTTCTTGTTGGTCGTGTTGGTCACTGTGTCCGGTGTCTCCCTTCTGTTTCCTTTTGTTTCCTTTCTTGTCTGAGGCGGACAGCAGTCCAGAGCTGGGAGACAAATGTAAAGGATTTGCAAGGCTGGGTGGGTGACAAACGTAAAGGATTGCAAAGGATTGCAAGGCAGAGGCGGACAGAGCAGCCCAGCGCTGGGAGACACATGGAAAGGATTCTTGTTGCGCGGTGCCAGCCTCTGCCTTGCAATCCTTTCCATGTGTCTCCCAGCTCTGGGCTGCTGTGTTGCAGTCCTTTACATGTCTCCCTGGTTTGGACTGCTGTGTCCGCCTCTCGCTTGCAATCCTTGACATTTGTCTCCCTGTTTGGGCTGCTGTATCCGCCTCTCACTTGCAATCATGTTTGTCTCCCGGCTGGTTGCTCTGTCTCTGGGCTGCTGTGTCCGCCTCTGCCTTGCAATCCTCTACATGCGCCTCCCAACTCTCTCCCCCCCTCTCGCTATTGCAACGCCCTTTACATGTGTCTCCCAGCTGCGTGTTTTGTCTCCCAGCTCTGGACTTCTGTGTCCGCCTCTGCTCTGCAATCCTTTACATTTGTCTCCCAGCCCTCGGCTGCTGTGTCCGCCTCTGCCTTGCAATCCTTAAATTGACATGTGTCCTCTGAGCTGCTGTGTCCGCCTCTGCCTTGCAAGCCTTTACATTTGTCTGCATGTCGCTTGCAATCTGTCTACATGTGTCTCCCAGCTCTGGACTGCCGTGGCCGCCTCTGCCTTGCTATTTTTCTCCCAGCTCTGGACGTCGCAAGCTCTAGTTGCAGAGAGTTCCGATTTTGAAAATTACAAACTGTTTGGGGTCTACGGCGGTGTAGTTTACCCTTTATTCTCCGGGGTCGCAAAAGGGTACCCCTTAGCAAAACAACGCTCGCGAACCGGAATTGGGAACAGCTGCCTCCAGCATCCGGCCAGCGCTCGGCGCCAGCTTCACGTAGTGGTCATAGCCTCAAGAAACTCTGCCAGGAGCAATTGTCAAGAAGGCTTTAGACAAAACCCTACACAAGAACACATACTAGCCAGCAAGCGTGCTCTCAAACATTTCATCTTGCAAAAAACAAAATGGAGCCCGCGAACCCGAATGCAAACACGTTCGAAAAGCTACATATGTCCAAGGGAAAACCTTGTGGGACACTCTTGTAAGACACTTTTGTGGGACACTCTTGTAGGGCACTGCACTCTTGTGGGTCACTCTTGTAGGAAACTCTGGCGGGGCACTCTTGTGGGACACTCATACGGGACACTCTTGTGGGTTCCTTGTGGGGCACTCTATCTGGGGCACTCTTGTGGGACACTCTATTTGGGACGCTCTTGTGGGTGTGGGACACTCTTGTTAGACACTCTTGTAGGACACTCTTGTCAAACACTCTTGTGGGACACTCTTGTAGGACACTCTTGTCCCACTCTTCTGGGTCACTCTTGTAGGAAGCTCTTGCGGGGCACTCTTGTGGGACACTCTTGATACCACAAATCACCCCGCTCACCAGCGACACGCCGCGTTTACACCAGCATGTTTCACGCTCCCCAGTGGCACGGCGTCACGCAAACACACTTCCCACCTTGCAAGGCCGCGCAAACCCCAATGGCACTGCGACATGACGAACGTAATTTCACCACACAGTCTGCCCATACACTAGAAGCAAACATACCACACGATACCACCAATCATCCCGCTCACCAGCGACACGCCGCGTTTACACCAGCGTGTTTCGCGCTCCCCAGTGGCACGGCGCCGCGCAAACACACTTCCCACCAAGGCCGCGCAAACCCCAATGGCACTGCGACATCACGAACATAACTTCGCCGCACGGTCTGTCCACACACTACAAGCAAACGTATCGCGTGATACCGTCAATCATCCCCGTCAACAGCGACGCGCCGCGTTTACACCAGTATGTTTCGCGCTCCCCAGTGGCACGGCGCCACGCAAACACACTTCCCACCAAGGCCGCGCAAATCCCAATGGCAGTGCGACATCACGAATGTAGTTTCGCCACACGGTCTGTCCAAACACTACAAGCAAACGTATCGCGTGATACCACCAATCATCCCGCTCACCAGCGGCACGCCGCGTTTACACCAGTATGTTTCGTGCTCCCCAGTGGCACGGCGCCACGCAAACACACTTCCCACCAAGGCCGCGCAAATCCCAATGGCAGTGCGACATCACGAACGTAGTTTCGCCACATGGTCTGTCCAAACACTACAAGCAAACGTATCGCGTGATACCACCAATCATCCCGCTCACCAGCGACACGCCGCGTTAACACCAGCATGTTTCGCGCTCCCCAATGGCACGGCGCCTCGCAAACACACTTCCCACCAGGGCCACGCAAATCCCAATGGCACTGCGACATCACGAACGAATTTTCTCCAAAAGTCACGCGCGCAGTCTCCAAAACGAGCGTTTCGTACGAGACTTCCTCCAAAAGTCACGTGTCAAGTCTCCAAAACAAGCGTTTCGTACGAAACTGCCTCCAAAAGTCACACGTCAACAAGCGTTTCGTACGAGACTTCCTCCAAAAGTCGCGCTTCGAGTCTGGAAGACGAGCGTTTCGTACGAGACTTCCTCAAAAACTCACATGTCAAAGTCTGCAAAACGAGCGTTTCCTACGAGACTTCTTCCAAAAGCGAAGCGGAAACACCCATCGGAGTACATACATCACGCATCCCTGCCAAGCAGTTTCGCGATTCCAGCCCTCCAAACAACACCCGCTCACACGCCAATCCCAATGTCACAGCGACATTCACCTCTACCACAACTCACAACCTCACGATTCCCTGCGCCTGCCACGAATCTGTCCGCGTCCACACGTCTAACGCGCACGAAATGTCACCTCCGTCACACCTCGCAACCTCACGATTCCCTGCGCCTGCCACGAAAATCGCACTTCCACACCTCAAAACCCGCACAAAGTACTGCGCCTGCCACGAAAAGTGACAATATCATCTCATGTGAGCTTCAGCAAACTTTGCACCACACCACACCACACGTTTGGAATGATTTCCACCGTTCTGAGCACACTCCCATCCACCAAAATCCCCATTTCAGCTGAGACTTGTCACGAAAACAGGGCTTCGATACCACACCTGAAACGCAAATCCCAATGGCGCGGCCACATCCACCACCCCAAAAACACAACTCTCCAAACGCTAATCCCAATGGAAATGCGCAGAAAAGTGCGGACCTCACAAAACGCTGTGCCTGCGCAGTGAACTCAACCTCCATACTTCAACATCTTACATTTGCACACGTTTCCACGCTATTTGACACGAATCTGACGCGTCACGTTTTCATCCGAAACCCTCTCCAAAAGCTTCCCCCAATGGCAGCGGCCTTAGCGCCCTACTGCGAACGGCGGCGGACGGTTGCGAACGGTTGCGTACATAGAAACAACGGGTCGCGAACAAGGCTGAGTTAAACGAGAACCCTTCGCTACGCATTCGGGAAAACATATTCATTGACACCAGCTTAACAGCAAACCATCCATTAATATTCGCGATTCAAAGCAGATTCATGGCATGATTTGTGCAACCCTGCCTCGTTTTCTCGGCGGACAGCTATTTTGGGCAAGGTCAAGCTGCTCCTCCCAACCTCTCAAAGACTTCAATCCCTCCCAAAGAGAACCTGAAGCATCCTTTCGCACGTGATCAAAGCGCAATTTTAGAGTCTTTTCTTGTGAACTACAACGCTCGAAGCACCCCAGGTGATGGCAGCTACCTTCGACTTTGGTGCCCAGAACTGCGCTCCTCAGCCGGGCCTTGGCCATATGCTTCAATCAGGGAAAAAGCTGAAAGGAATGTTAAAGGAAATGCTTAGTTCATGTGAATCAATCTGATTCTTGCTGAAATGGACCTCCAAAGCATCACTTCACGTCTTTGCAAAGTGTGTTTCTTGAGTCATCTTGAAACATTTCAAGTCTCTTCCCGCAAATCCACATCCAACCCAACGGCCTGAGCGATGGCCAATCCATCTGGCGCTTCGGGAAGCTGACATCTTTCGAGGGCCGCTGTTGCAGCAGCCTCCGCTTCATGTTTCTCCTTTCACATCCTTTCACTCTGCAAAATGGTTGAGTCTCGTTGTTCACACTTGTTTTTCATTGTTTCACGCTGCCTCCAGATCATCAGAGCTGGTTAATGTCTTTGCTGCACGGTGGAGCTCTAGCCTTCGCTGAAACAGACACATGGTTGAAACATGTTGAGCAGCTTTGAAAAGAGACGATGAAATCAGTCACAAAATGGTCGAGGAGCAGGTCTGCAACCAAAGGCACAATGCATGCGGCATCTGTCCTGAAGTGATCGTCTCAACATCGAATTGCGCATGTGCTACATTGTGGACAATTCTTCTTGTGCCCAAAACGGACAATAAATGGCTGTGTCCGCTATGAAGGCCGGCAAATCTCAGCCGGGGCCGATGGAGGAATCTGTTGAGTGCCTCACACTGCGTGATTCACTGCCTGGGCGGGGAAAGCTGTTGCTCTGAGCCTGACACCGCCACCTTTACAAGTATTAGTAGTAATGCACCTTGTTACTAGTAGCTTCTTGGTACTATGTAGTAGTAATGCCCTTTTCCACAAGTAGGGCGATGCACTTGTTACCAATACTTTGAAATAGAGATTGCTGCGGATTGCCCCGTCATGTTCGGAACGTTTCTTCCACCAAGCCCGCAGCAATATGCAAGTATGCAGAGTCTTTGCCAGTGTTGGAGGCGCTCCCAGGAAGAGAAAGGACCTCACAGAGAAAGACCCTTTGAAAGTCGGACAAATCATTTCTGTTCACACTCCATGCAGCACTCGTGGAATGCTATTTTTGCATGAATAACATTGAACGAACGGCTTTTCGCCCAAAACTTATCCAATCATCTCAAACGGCTTGCTTGGGCATCGACGGAGATGGAAGCAGGGGTCTTGAATCCACGGCTGCGTGCCTTCAGCCATGCCGCGTGCCGCCTCATTAGTCAAGCCACAAATGTCAATTCTGATTCGCGATTTAAACAAGAACAAACGAGCGCTCAAAGCACTCCGAAGCTACCGCTGCTTGTTGGCCGAGTGGCATCTCTGCTTCTGTGTCGAAGCGCAGCCATTCGAAGTGGGCCAACTGACAATCAGCGCAAGCAACAGTTTGATACTTTCCAGTCAAGACTCTAGGTAGCGTGCGTGGTGTGAGTCGCTCCGTTCGATGCAAATGGTTGACACACACTTAAATACAGGTTATCCAATTCCATAATCCACGCGAAAAGGGGTGAGAGAAACGCACGGCGGCTGAGTCGGCAAAATTGAAGTGTTGGACATTGTTTTCTAAGAAACGCCAAAGTAGTTACTGAATACTTAGCAGTCTTGAGTGAAAGCCGTGCATAGGGGAGTAGGTCCCATAGGGAAGCGAGACAAACGAATCGCTTCAAATGGGTAGAAAAGGAAAGGATGCCTCCTGTTGTGAAGCTAGAAAAAGGAAAAGAAACCCCTGTTTATAGCTAGGGACCGAGACTGACGAGAAGGAAAGGAACCGACGCGCACAGTCCGCCGAGAACCATCTGGTATCCATTAGGTTTGGGTAAGTGTAGGTACACAGTGGAGCGTCCCCCACTGCATCAGCACCAACTGATACCCTCTTCGTTGGACGGGCAGTATCAGCAGTGACCCGTCCCCGTGCTTGGGAGAAACAAAAAGAGACGGAGAAAAACCCTTGGATACAGGTATGACGCACTTAGGCAATGGGTTTGCAGTTAACTCTGTTCCTCAGTGAAATGAACGATGGAACCGCAAG